AAATAAATATTTTTTAAAAAAATACCCAGATAAAATGCCAAAAGAGAAAAAACAAAAATGCTATTACCTTACCAAGTCACCTATTTTCTTTTCTTTTATCCTCTCAAAGATTACTAGATGAGAAAACAGGTAATGATTCTAGTTACACCACTTGGGTAAATCACTTACCATATCTGCTGGTCATAAAACATATCCAAATACTACAAAGAAATGTTTTATTGTTTTTTTAATATTTTATTTATTTGTCAGAGAGAGAGAGAGGGAGAGAGAGCACACTCATGGGCACAACCGGGGAGTGGCAGGCAAAGGGAGAAGCAGGCTCCCCAGTGAGCAGGGAGCCCAACACAAGACTGGATCCCAGGACTCTGAGATCATGACCTAAGCCAAAGGCAGATGCTTAACCATCTGAGCCACCCAGGCATCCCAAATACTACAAAGAAATGTTTTAAGAAAAAAATTAATTATGTTTCATCAGGCATGTACTGAAAATTATTTATTTACTCTCTACACACAACATGGGGCTCAAACTCACAACCCTGAGATCAAGAGTTGTATGCTCTTCCAACTAAACCAGCGAGGCATCCCCGAAAACAATTTTATGGTTTGGTAAGGGAAAAAATTATTTGTATAAACGTACTATGCAGTAAAACTGCATCAATAGAGTATAAAATCATATGACTATAACGAAAAAGATTCACGTCAATGGATACTAAAAAAGACCAAGCAATACAGTATCCCAACTCATTGGTAAATTAAGTCCTGAACCACACATATAGTACTGTATTTTTGTGAATACAGTAATCAGAAAACTAGCCATGAAATAAAGCTGCATTAATTTGAATTAATCCCTAGGTAGCAATTAATGGTACCAGATAAAGCACAGTACCTATAGAAAAATGTCTGACAGAAACTAATTTATGGCACAGGGCAAAAATGTGAAAAAAATCCCAAAATTATGCTTACTGCTAATGGCTCAAAATGAAGGTTTGATTACCACACCGGTTAAGGAACTATGACCAGCTGTGTGCTTGCTGAAGGCAAAAGAGGATACAGATAGGTAGTCAAAGAAGGTAGTTACAAATACAGCTATGACCAAGTGACTAGTTACAGAAATGAATACTGTAATTGCCATGAGTATTTCCTCCTTTGTTATGAGTAGGGTTTTTTTTTTGTTTGTTTTTTGGGGTTTTTTTTTGTTTTTTTTTTTAAAGATTTTATTTATTTATTTGACAGACAGAGATCACAAGGAGGAAGAGAGGCAGGCAGAGAGAGAGGGAGAAGCAGGCTTCCCGCCAAGCAGAGAGCCCAACTCGGGGCTCGATCCCAGGTCCCTGAGATCACAACCTGAGCAGAAGGCAGAGGCTCAACCCACTGAGCCACCCAGGTGCCCCTATGAGTAGGTTTGTGTGTCTGAGTGTTTATCTCTGTTCTTCTCTATTCCCTTATTATATAACATAAAATTATACTTTATATCATACTATTATATCAAACAATATCATTCTATTTAAGTATTATTAATTTTATATCACAGTATTTAAGTTACGAGAAATCAAAGAAATGTAAACATTATTTAAGGACTTTACTTCCTTTTCTAGAGAAAGGATTAGTGTGTTTTCTTTCTTTCTTTTTTAAAAGATTTTATTTATTTAACAGAGAGAGAGATCACAAGTAGGCAGAGAGGCAGGCAGAGAGAGAGGGGGAAGCAGGCTCCCCGCCAAGCAGAGAGCCCAATGCGGGGCTCAATCCCATGACCCTGAGATCATAACCTGAGCCGAAGGCAGAGGCTTAACCCACTGAGCCACCCAGGCGCCCCTTGTAACTGTCTTTATCTGGAGACTAAGTATGGTTTTAGGAGATGCATATGGGTGCCAAGTTAACATGGGATGATTAAATTTTATAGTCTACATGGTACCCAGTTATTAGGTCAAACATTATTCTGAATGTGTTTATAAGAATGTTTCTGAATGAGATTAACACTTGAATCAGTAGACTGAGTAAAGCAGATTGTCCTCCCCATTTGGGTGACCCTCATAATCAGATGAAGGCTTGCATAGAACAAAAAGGCTGACCCTGTCAGGAGTAAGGGGAAATTCTTCTTGCCTAAGCTTAAAGCTGATACATTGTTTTTTCCCCCTGCCTTTAAACTTGAACTGAAGTATAGGCTCTTCTTCAGTCTAGAGCCTTCTGGCTTTTGGACTGGAACTTACACCTTTGGCTCTCCTGGTTCTCAGGCTAGTGGACATGGACTAGATCTAAACCACTGCTCTCCTGTCTTTCCAGCTTGCCAACTACAGCTCTTGGGATTTCTCACTCTCTATAATCACATGAACCATTTCCTGGTAATAAATCCCTTCCTGCCAAGTCCCATGGCTCTCCTAATTCTAAAAGTACACAATTACTTGGAATTTCCCTCCAGTGTTTTATAAACCATCTAGATCAGTAATTCCAGTAGAGATAAAATGTGAGCCACATAAGTAATTTAAAGTTTTCTATTAGTCCTGTTAAAAATAAATTTGAAAGAAACATGTGAAATTAGTTTTAATACATTTTATACTACCCAATATATAAAAAATATCATCGTAACATGTAATCAATGTTTTTAAACTATTAATTTTTTTGTATCAAGTCTTCAAAATCCAGGACACCTGGGTGGCTCAGTAAGTTAAGTGTCTGCCTTCAACTCAGATCATGACCCCAGGGTCCTGGGATCGAGCCCCATATCAGGCTCCCTGCTCAGTGGGGAGCCTGCTTCTCCCTCTGCCTGCTGCTCCCCCTGCTTATACTCTATATATATCAAACAAACAAAATCTCTTTAAAAAGGAAGAGTCTTGGGGTGCATGGGTGGCTCAGTGGGTTAAAGCCTCTGCCTTCGGCTCAGGTCATGATCCCAGGGTCCTGGGATCGAGCCCCGAATCAGGCTCTCTCTGCTCAGCGGGGAGCCTGCTTCCTCCTCTCTCTCTCTGCCTGCTTCTCTGCCTACTTGTGATCTGTCAAATAAATAAATAAATAAATCTTTAAAAAAAAAAAAAAAAAGGAAGAGTCTTCAAAATCCAATGTGTATTGTGCACTCACAGTATTTCTCAATTCAGGATGGCCACATTTTATGTGCTCAACAGCTACATGTGGCTAATGGTTACGGTAGTGTTGGACAGTATGTTTCTAGATGCATTATTCTATTCTAAGAAAGATAATTGGAGAGCTTCTGCTTCTGGCCCCAAATAACCCAATTACAAGTAAGCCACCACTCTTTTCCTCCCTGTTCCCTTTGGGTGGAAAGACACTCTGGTAAGGATAGCTAGTGTCTTTCAGTTGGGAAAGAGGAACTGTAAAACTCTTTCTCGTTACTGAACAAAGCAACTAAGAATTCCTATACCTTTTTTAACCCTAAAACTGAGGTCAGAATGAATTATTATGCTGCAAAAGCCAACGCTCAAAATTAAGGAGCCTTGTAATAATTCACTGAGCACTTTGTTGTCACTTGTAGATCACAGCACAAAATAGATGCAAAGTTTATCCACAGTATTCAAGTCCTTGAAGAACACAAGAACTTGTGTTCTTCCCTAGGTTCCCTAGATGACAGGAAATATTCCTACCATGGCTTAATACAAACTCCAAGTAAAATGCATATTTAAAAGTCTTAGTTATCTCAAAGAACTGTAGTTTATAATGATTCTCACTATACACTAAAAGGTACATTTCTCCCTTTTCCCATACTAGACATAACCTTCTTAGCCTCACTTAACCTGCACAAACCATTAGAGACGTGGCCCTCAGAAAGATCATAAAATCTACACATAAATACAATCTTGCCATTTCATTAACACATCAAGTTCCTACAAGTCTCAAATAGGTAAAAGAGACATCCTTCAAATTCACTGTAAGAACTAAATAAACTTCTCTTCTGGCGCAAATAAGAGCAAACAATTTCCCCCTTGTGCATGTCTGTTCCATGCTCCTCAGTCTTACTAAGTGAGGGACTAGAATCCATCTCCCAGTACGTACCTGCCTTTGAGCGAACCATCAATTCCAACTAGGAAGGGAGCTTCCAAAACCACGTTATTTGTGACTCCTAGGAAGACAAACACAGGTCAGAAGGAAAGAGTACTTGTGAAGCTTTGAAAGGGAAAACCTACCCGCTACAGATAGATTCATCATGGCCACAAAAATCATGAAAAGTTGTCCTCACCCCTGGCCAAGGGGTTTCCTTCCAAATCTCCCCCCCCCCCCCCCCCCCCCCCAAACCCCCCCAACCCCCCCCCCCCCCCCCCCCAGGGGGTTTCCCCCCCCCCCCCCCCCCCCCCCCCGCCATTCTTTTCCACCACTCTCTCTCGACCGTCCCGTGAGAAAGCGGGAACCCCCTCTCTGGAACCTCCTCCGCCTTCCTCAGACTCTGCCCCCACTCACTGGAGAAGACCACGGCTCCTAGGGACCGCGACAGGTCCCAGGCAAGGTGCACAGAGTCAGCGAGCACGGCGTAGCACTGCGCGCACTGGAACACCGCGCACCTCTCGGGCTGCAGCCACGACGGCAGCCGCGGGCCAGATGGCAGCTCCTCTGCCCCCAGGTTTGCGGGGCCAAGCGGCGAGGACCCGTTCACTACCTGCGTGTCCCACTCCATAGAAGTCGTACAAGAGTGTTTGTCAGTTGTTTTCTTAGCGGCATCACAAAAATCAGCCCCCGGAAGCTGTGCACACCGCGAACGATGCCGCCGCGGCCGAGCCGCCATCTTTCCGCAGCTCGCGCCTCCGCTTCGAACACGCACCTGGCCCGCCCAAGCACGATTCCTGCTTCCTCATTGGACATAGTGTGCCAGGACTCCGCCCCAAAGTGTTGTTGAGGGGTGGGGGAAAACGTGCGTCAGACGCGAGGAGAATCTTCGTTTCTGTTGGTCAACGCCAGGAAACCCCACCTTCAGGGTATTTTTAGCCAATAGAACTGCAGCATTTTCAATTTAAACTCTCTATAAAATTCGGTTTCGGTAACGCTTAGAGTGGCGCCAGAGTTTTGAACTGTGCTGCCGAAGGTGGAGTACGAGTCCTCACTGTGGTCGCCTGTATGCAGCTCGCCAGGGCAATGCCCTCCCTTGAGGAGCTGGACTCCTTCAAGTACAGCGACCTTCAGATCCTAGCCAAGAATCTGGGCCTCCGGGCTAACCTGAGGGTACGGAGCCGGTAGCGGGCGGGGTTGTGTGAGCTGCCTCCGGTAGACATGGTGGGAAGGGACCGAACGGGTACCCCGGGGACTGAGCCTCCTGTTCCTCCAACTACGCAAAACGGAGAGGGGGCCAAAGTATTCACCTTATTTTGAGGCTGATTTTTCTGAGGGTTCACATAGGCCTTGATTTCAGAAGGATTTGTTCGGTTTGGTGTTATTGGAAGTACTCTGAAATTAATTTAGGAAATGCACGCCCCGAAAACTCAGGGATGCTATGTCTAATTCAGGTCGTTAGGCAGTCGCTGAAGTAATTGCTTTGGCTTCTGGGAAATTCGAAACAGTCACAATCCTGTGAACTGTAAATGAGCCCCAAATCTCTTAATACTTTACTGGAGGATCTGGAAGAAAGGATGACTTTTAGAGGACCACCTCGTGGATAAATTTTTATAACTCAGGCCTGACCTAGAATGATCGTTCTTTTGTGTTACTGTTGCGGTAATGTTCTGTTTGCTAACTTTGGTCCTTTGGCCTCAGATTCCCTTCTTTCTCCGTCGTCTTTATTTGCATTAATAATTTCTAGCTGCTCTTCAGAGTCCAACAGAAGTATCACTGACTTGACATTTCATGTCCTCCGCTTCAGTCCCTTGGCCACAGGTCCACCCTAGTAATCCCAGGATCCTGTGCGCTTTTAAAACTGTTTAATGTCAGGTACTTTCTTTGAGCATTTGCAGGCTTTCACCTTACACTGTGGTTATTTGTGTATTACATTATCCTCTCCACTACATGTTAAGTTCCTTGAAAAAAATCTCAGACACACTCCTTGGAAGGTCTTTACAACACTAAGTGCAGTATATGGGAGATGCTGAATAGTCACTTGTTGGCAGTACTAGAATAATGCTCCAAATAGTGGTAAGAGAGTTACAGGGGGGGCTTCCTGTGTTCAGAGCTCTTGGTAACATTAAGGCCCTGCATGGAGCAACTGTGTGGCTCCGTGGGTTAAGCCTTGGGCTCAGGTCATGACCTTGTGGTCCTGGGATCAAGCCCCGCACCGGGCTCCTTGCTCAGGAGGGAGCCTGCCTCTCCCTCTGCCTGCATCTCTGCCTACTTGTGATCTCTATCAAATAAATAAATAAACATTAAGGCCCTACAACCATTTGGGTCTCTGAAGAGTCACTGCAACAGATTTTTTTTTTTTAAGATTTTTTTATTTATTTATTTGACAGAGATCACAAGTAGATAGAGAGGCAGGCAGAGAGAGAGAGAGAGAGAGGGAAGCAGGCTCCCCGCTGAGCAGAGAGCCCGATGCGGGACTCGATCCCAGGACCCTGAGATCATGACCTGAGCCAAAGGCAGCGGCTTAACCCACTGAGCCACCCAGGCGCCCCCAGAGATCTTTTTCTAAAAGCCCCACCTGTCGTTCGTTCTCTTGAGGCATCTGATCTGGGTTAGCCAATTTATCCCTTGTTTTCAGAGTGGAATAGTGAATGAAATATTTCTGGTCACTACAGACCCCATTACCTACCTAGCACACAGTATCTGGCACACAGTGGGTGTCAATAAAGACTTTTTGAGAGGTACCTATTTTCCAGAAAGAGGTGACCATATAAGGCTTTATTATAAGCGGCTATAGAAAGACAGTTTTGAGACAATTGAAGAAAATTAAACTTGAACTAGTTAAGTGAAGGTATTGTGGGCTCCCTGCTCATCAGGGAGTGTGCTTCTCCCTCTCCTACTCGCCCCTGCTTGTGACCTTTTCTCTATCAAATGAATAAAATCTTAAATAAAGGTATTGTTCATTTTGTTGGGTATAATAATAGTGTTGCATTTATGCCCCCCCACCTTTTTTCTGTACCCAACCAGCTGATCCTGCCTGGAGAAAATCACCTAAGCTTGTTGACTGAACTTATATTTAAACTTATATTTATGACCATAAATCATAAAATGAGCATTTGATCCCCATATGCTTCCTTGGTAGTCATTAACTTTCCCATTTTTGAGGACAATTAAGTGCTGTCTTCTCACATTGGCTCTCTTCCCTCACTTGATGACTTTTCCTCATAGGTCGTTGGAAAAATAGATGGAGTCAGCAGAGAGTTTCCTCATCTTTCCACCATCAAACCCTTAGGCCATCCCCCAGCTGTCCCATTGTACTTTATGTTCTTCTGAGGGCAGCCTAGCCATTTGTGCCAGGGATCCTTGTTCCCACCTCCGGGGCTTGCGCACCTGCACTTAGCTCCTCCCCTACATCAATTTCTCCTGCTCAGCTGGCTCAGTTCCCTAAAGGATGCTATCAAGTCTTAATAGTCTCCATCTTAGGGGTGCCTGGGTGGCTCAGTGGGTTAAAGCCTCTGCCTTCGGCTTGGGTCATGATTCCAGGGTCCTGGGATCGAGCCCCACATCGGGCTCTCTGCTCAGCGGGGAGCCTGCCCCCTCCTCTCTCTCTGCCTGCCTCTCTGCCTACTTGTGATCTGTATTTATCAAATAAATAAAATCTTAAAAAAAAAGTCCCCATCTTAAAAAACGAAAAACCTGGGGCACCTGGGTGGCTCAGTGGATTAAGCCGCTGCCTTCGGCTCAGGTCATGATCTCAGGGTCCTGGGATCGAGTCCTGCATCGGGCTCTCTGCTCAGCAGGGTGCCTGCTTCCCTCTCTCTCTCTCTCTCTCTCTCTCTCTCTCTCTCTGCCTGCCTCTCCGTCTACTTGTGATCTCTCTCTGTCAAATAAATAAAAAATAAAACTCTTAAAAAAATGTCTTAACTTGTTTAAAAAAAAAAAAAACAAAAAACGAAAAACCTCTCCTGACCACTTGTCCTTAATCTTCTGCTCAATTTCTCTGTTCTTTTCCACTGAAACGGCTCTTACCAAGGCCACAAGGCTCTGCATCTTCCAAAGCTTGTGATACATCTCTGTCCAACCCTGCTATTTGGCAGGTTTGAATCTTCCTTATTTGCTTAAACCACTTTCACTACTTTTCACTCCTGAAGTCTGACCTCTGCTTACCATCACCAGTGCTGCAGACCTAGGCCACAGCCTGTCTGCGGCTCTCCTGCCTCTATTCTTGCCTCCGGGTAGTTATTCTCTTGTAATCAAGGCAATATTTGAAACGTTGAACACGCCACTATTTCTGCTCAGTGCCACCGCCATTGACTTGCCTCACACCTAAAATAAAATCCAGACTCCTACAAATGTAATGTGAGAAACTGGGTTTGATCCTGATTTGAAGGGGAATTTTTTAAAAAACTAAAAATTGAGGAAATTGAAATTTGAGTGCTACATTTCAGAGGATTTTAGGAAATTAATATATTTCCTAGGTATGATAACTTATTAGAGGTTATGTAAGAAAACAACCCTTGTTTTGGGGAGATGAGGCTGATGTATTTAGTGGGAAAGTATCGTGTTGGCTGGAACTTATTTTCAACTAAGTTGGCAAGAAATACATTACTATAGAGCTACTATGAGACTGTGTTAATGATTGCTGAATCTAGGTGGGGAGGATAAAATTGTTTATTATACTATTTCAACTTTCCTATGGACTTGACATTTTTTTAAAAGGTTTTTTTTTTTTTTGTTTTAATTTGAGACAGAGCATGAACAGGGGAGAGAGGCAGAGGGGGAGGGAGAATCAGATCCCCACTGAGCAGGGAGCCCGAAGCAGCATCCATTACCATGCTCCACGACACTGGCTTCCTTCTGTCCTTACAGTTCACCAGCCCACCTCAGGCCTTGGTGCACCCTCTACTTGGAATGCGCTTTCCCACATCTTGGCCTGCTGCTTCTTCGTGTTCACATCTCCATTGAAAAGTCACCACCTCTGAGAGGCCTTTCCTGACCCTCCTACCTCAGGGAGCACCCTCCTCCAGTCCCCAGGTTAATTTTCTGGTAGCCCCTGATATCCTATCATTTTTTGAGCTTCGTTAATAGACAAGCCCACCACGGGAGGTTCCTAGAGTGGAGACCTTGTGTTTTGGCTCATCACTGTCTCTCCTGTGCCTGGAACCATGTGCAGTGTGATCAGTGCTTGTTGACCTGCTGATCCTAACACGTGTACCTCCTGCTTGGCCCTCATGAGCCTCACCCAGAGCATTGAACCTGATAAATGCTCTCACCTGGCTCTGCCACAGGCACCTTTCATCATTGTCACGTGTCTGAGGTTTTGTGGTATTTTAAGTCTGGAAACCTGTACAATATAGAGCCTATGATTAACATTACTGTATGGTCTACTTAAAAATGTGCTATCATCTTACGTGAAGGGTTCTTAAAACCAAACAAAAGACAAAACACAGAGGGGGTGGTAGGAAACTGTTGGTGACAGAGAAGATTATGACAGTGGTAATGGTTTCACGGGTATATATCACCAAATACATGTCATTGTGTATATTAGATGTCTGTAGGTCAATCATACCTCAGTGAAGTGGTTGGTGGAAAAAAAATGAAGAACCAAGAGTGCCTGAATTCTGCCCTACCAATGACCCCCTTCACGGAGAAGGCCCCAAGAGACATTCAAGGAGCAACAGCAGTAGAAAATAAAAGCCACTTTATTACTAGCTGGTGTGGTGCCTGAGACCTTGACACAGGGCATACTGGTAAACCGGCTGAGGGATGGGCTTCACACCTAAGCACAGCCTCTCCTAACGCCCCAAACCAAATCCGGATCCCTGCCGTTCTCTCCTAGACACCTGGTCAAAGATAAATGGTATGAGCTGTGGTGGCTGGGCCTACACTGAGAAGGAAATATCTGGTTCTCCACTTCCTGAGTGGAAGAAGAGGAAAAAACAACCCAACCAATATGCTTGACCTTTCAAAAGCCCAAGAAACTAATCAATCAGATTAGTATTTCTCAGGAAGGAAGGGTTTCTCAGGGTGAGAAGAGAAACTAGGAGTCCCTTCCCCCAGAGACCTGGAACCATCCTCCCACCACACCCCCCACTCAAGCCTGCCTGTGTTTGGAATTCCTGGTCTGAGAGATCCCCACCATGTTACATCAGCTGCCCAATCCAGGAGCTGGGTGTAATACAGTTTCACTGTTCCTCAACCCCTGTCTTCATACTGACTTTACTTCCTAAAAAGGTTTTGAATATGTCCCTATTGCCTTAGTCCTGCTCTAGCTCAGGCCATAGTCCTTCCTGGTTTCCTCTCCTGGCCTCCCAGCTGTTTTGCTGGCTTCTGCCTTTCTGCCATCCAGTGCATCCTGCATGTGGTCCTGCTGGAGTGATCATTCTGAGTAATGCAGAACTGGTCACTGTCTGGCACTGCTAGACTCTTCCAAAGCTGCCCTTTGCGGGTAAAGCTCCTACGCTTAACAGGCTTACAAGGCCTGGCAGGATCGGCCCCTGCCCACGTTCTCCAGTGTCTTCCCTCCCCTTCCCTGAGCAGCTCCATGCTTTAGCCATAGTGAACTTGAGTTCCCCAAACTCCACCCTCCTTCTTTCATTCGCAGGCAATTTACCCCTTCCCTGTGGCCACCTCTGCCCCATTTATCCTTCAGACCTCAGCAGCCGCAAACATCATGTCTTCATCTTAGAACTGGTGTGTCCAGTTACCTGCTCAAGTCTATCCCGGCTGTCTAGACCTTGGCCGAGCCCAGCTGTCTCGTGCACAACAGCGTGGGTATCCTTATGTTGGTGCTTAGCCCAGGGTATCTGTTGTCATTGCCTCTTAACCTGTCTCACTTCCCCATTCTTCTGCGGAGCCTGCCCAGAGGACATTTGAGGAATACTAGAATAGGAGAATAATTATCCTCAAAAACGGGAAAGTTAATAACCTATCTTTTTTGCTTACTTTTTTTTGGCCCTACTGATAAAGTCTCGAACTCTCCTGCAGGCAGACAAGTTGCTAAAAGCCTTGAAAGCCCACCTTAAACATGAGGCAAAAAAAGAAAATGAGAATCAGGTAAGTAATATATATTTTTTTTACCACCTATTAAATACTAAGACCATTATATTTAATTAGCAGTAAACACAACCAGTGATGACATGCTATTTATCCCCAAAGAGATCGTTTTAAGTAATAATAAATCCTTTGATAATAACTATTTGCTATTAAAAAAAAAAAAACCTGCCTAGTAGTGAGTAACCTGCTGAATAAGATGTTCTCATAAAAATGCAAGGGTTATGAATTACTAGTTGCCAAACCTTACAAGAGCTAGCTTGGTATGAGCAAGGAAGGAACAGGATTTGAAGCCCAAAAAATCCATGTTAAGTAGCAGTTCTGTCATTTCTTTTTATGTGATCTTGAAAAACTGAAATGCCTTTATTCCTAGTTTCCTGTTCTTTACAATGGAGATAGTACCTGCTCTACTGAATTGAATGTTATGAAAATGAAATGAAGTAGGGCCTGTGAGAGTGGTCTGTGGTGCTCCGGAAACCAGAGTGGTGGGAGAGGGGCCGTCATGGCTGCTTCAGACCGAAGGTTTTGACAGGGCCTGACCTAGTCCACAGATGCTGCGTTAGGGTGAGGATTCTAAACTTGAGAGAGCGGAAAATCCAGAAAGGCCTTAAGGCCCTGTGCTTTGAAGAGCATTATCTATCTGGAAATGGAGATAAATGTAAATATGAATTGAGAATCCTAGCTACTAACTCCCCCTGTCTTTATCAACTTTATATTCCAAGTTATAAACATTTAAAACTGCCAGTACTCAAAATTCTTTTGGGGTGCCTGTGTGGCTCAGTCAGTTGAGCATCCAGCTCTTGATCTCAGCTCAGGTCTTCATCCCAGGGTCATGTTTCCAAGCCCTGCACTGGGCTTCATGCTGGGTGTGGAGCCTACTTAAAAAATAAACATAAGTAAAAATTAAAAATGTACAGCAAAATTCTTGTGATTCCAGGTTTAATTAACTTAAAATAGACAACAAAAAGATCAATTTTGAATTCTAGCTTTAAGATTTTACATCAACTAAATCTCCATCCCTCTTTTTATATATAACTCTCTTAATGATTAAGAATACATGATTAATGGGGCGCCTGGGTGGCTCAGTGGGTTGGGCCGCTGCCTTCGGCTCAGGTCATGATCTCAGGGTCCTGGGATCGAGTCCCGCATCGGGCTCTCTGCTCAGCAGGAAGCCTGCTTCCCTCTCTCTCTCTCTCTGCCTGCCTCTCCGTCTACTTGTGATCTCTCTCTGTCAAATAAATAAATAAAATCTTAAAAAAAAAAAAAATACATGATTAAGAGGCACCTGGGTGGCTCTGTGGGTTAAAGCCTCTGCCTTTGGCTCAGGTCATGATCCCGGGGTCCTGGGATTGAGCCCTGAGTCAAGCTCTCTGCTCAGCAGGGAGCCTGCTTCCTCCTCTCTTTCTCTGCCTGCCTCTCTGGCCTATTGTGATCTCCATCTGTCAAATAAATAAATAAATCTTTAAAAAAAAAATACATAATTAAGGAGTGCCTGGGTGGCTCAGATGGTTAAGTGTCTGTCTTCAGCTCAGGTCATGATCTGCAGGTCCTAGGATAGAGCCTCATGTCCGGTTCACTGCTCAGCGGGAGTCTGCCTCTGCCTCTCCCCCTGCTTGTGCTCTGTCTCTGTATCTCTCTCAAATGAATTAAAAAAAATAAGATGATTAGTACCATTGGAAATCAAGACTTTAGTTTGGATGGTAGTTAATAGAGTAATTAATAGTTAATTAGTAGTTAATAGAGTAAAATCATCCCATATCTATCATATTTCAAATTTAACATCTTAGGGGCCATTCCATTTTGAAAAAAATTCACAAAAGCATGATGATAGTCCAAATTCAGTTAGATAAAGAACTCCTAAGTGTTGAATCTAAATAGTAAGCTTAGGGCGCCTGGGTGGCTCAGCCAGTTAAGCGTCTGCCTTCAGCTGGGATCATGATACCACGGTCCTGCAATCCCACAGTCCTCCTTTCAGTGGGGAGTCTGCTTCTCCCTCTCCTTCTGTACTCCCCACCCCTGGCTTGTGCCCTCTCACTCATGTTGTCTCTCTCTCAAATAAAATCTTTAAAAAAAAAAAAAAGTGAGCTTAAAGGTTTATTTATTTTTAGGGAGAAACGTGTGCATAAGCGTGTGCAGGGGCTGAGTTAGAGATCGGGAAAGAGAATCCTTAAGCAGATTTCCCAATAAGCAGCACTCAGTCCCAGGGCCCCCCGAGATTGTGACCTGAGCTGAATTCAAGAGCCGGCTGCTCAAACAACTGAGCCACCCAAGTGCCCCTCAATAGTGAGCTTAGATGAGAAGACCTGATACAAAAAAGAGTTGGTTTTTCTAAAGCTGCAGGGGGAGTCAACACAGCCCAAGTGCACAGCAAAGAGATCATTGATGCTACCAATGACAGATGTGTAAACTTCCAGACCCCCCCCCAAATCCTCCCGTAGGGAATGCACAGGTGTTGGTCCTATCTGAGTGAGTGGGACATCACTCCTTATGGAAGACTTATTCTTGTACTTCGGGTCAGCCTTAACTGTAGGAGTTGGAGCAGCTTGGTATGTGGATTCGTTTGGCTGTGTTCCAAGGACTGCTGACCACGAGTCCTCCGTCAGTCTCGGAGTTAGGCAAATCTGTTACAGGTGCATCATGGTGCATTGGGAATGAACACCTCCCTGATCACTGTCCGCCTCCCAGACTAGCCTGTGTTTAAGGTGCATGGGATTAAAACCAGCGATGTTCAGGACTGTGCTAACAGACATCTAAACAGGACAGTTCTGGACCTGTCCTGCCCTCTTCTAATAGGGAGTCCCTGCAGGAGGGCTAAATAAGCATTTTAAAAGTGTCCCTGTAGTCCAACGGTACGAGTAACCTGAGGGTGTCACTTGTATAGTGGAAGCAGCTTCTTTTTCTTCACCATGCCTCTCCAGGGAGTTGGGAAGCAGGATCCAGATAGCATCTTTCTCCTCTCCTGTATCCCCACCTTTGAACTGATGTTTTCACCTGTCACTTGCAATGAATTCACAGGTGCAGCTTGGTGTGCTGTACCACGCTCTTCTCATTCCTTAGCTCCTGTACCTTTCCTTGCCATTCTTCATCCTAGACCTTGCATCACTTGCAACTGTGTCACTTCTGCATTATTTTACTTCTGTCTAAAATCTGCCGTTGCTCTCTAAGCCTCATTATTCTTGGACTCCCACATTTATTTTATATTGTGGTTCTTATTACAGGATATATGGGTGAGTCATTTGAGGAGATTTTTACAAATAGTGGTAGATAGCACTCATCATACTCCAGGCCCGCTCAGTCAGCTCTCAGAGGGTGGGGTCCAGGCAGCCCTGTGCAGTGGAGTAAAAATAGGATACAAAGCACTCTACCCACCCCTGCCACACACAGAGCACCAGGTGTCAGGACCAGGTAGAATATTGGAAGGCTTCTCTGCAAGGAAATTTGATGGCATCAAGCTCTGGCTTCTGTCTTCTGGCATTCAGTGGTTCCCTTGCATAACAGCCTCCTCCTCGAGTAAGGACCCTAGTGGATCAGGTCCTGCCAGATAAGGCCCTGCCACACATCCAAGCCTCTGATGAGGTCTGCCTTGTTTTTTTGAAATAGGATAGACAGCCAACAGTCACCAGACATTTGAGGGGAAGGCTGCAGTGGGAGAGAGCACCTCTCTCCCTAAAAGAGGATCCTCTCCCTAAAAGAAGACCCTAACGGAGACCCAGATGACCCAGAAAACAAACAAAAAGGTCTAAGAAAAAAAGCCTTTCAAGAACTAAATGATTTATCAACTAGAATCAAGCTACACAGACACGGCACAGATGATTCAATTAAGGTTATATAACAAGCTATAAATGTTAACAAGTTAGAGAATAGATGACATTGAGCAAAAAAGGACAAGAGGTGAAGGGAAGTATAAGGATTCTGTACTTAGATTTTACAGGAGGCTTTGTGTAGGTGTGGGACAAGATGTAAAGGTTTCAGAGTCCTTAGCGGAGCAAAGGTAATAGAGTGAAGGGGTACATTGCTCTTGGGAGGAAGATGGGAGAGGAGCGTGGGACCAGTGAGCTAAACTGTAGCCCATGATAGACACTGAAAACAGCTGCTGCAGCCACAAATGCATAGGCACCCCCCGACCCCGGCAAACCCCATGTGATCTTTAAGTGACCACCTAAAGTGAAGGAAGCCCTAGAAATGGGAGGGCTGGGGTGGAGAAGCAACTGCTTTCCATTAGAATCTCTTCAGTACTTCTTTTTTTTTTAGCCACAGGTGTATTTCAGATCAGCTCCTAATTAGAATTTAGTGTAAAAACAAAAACACCAGAAGCAAATCAAACCTCTCCTTTATACTGTGTAGGTAAGAAGACAGGCCTTCTGCTGTCTTCTGTCTTCTGCTGAAGACAGGCCTTCCTCATACTCATGATCATTTCTCGCTTACTTTTTTTCCTAGTGCTTCCATAGTTTCATTTTTACATTTAAATCTTTTACCCAGGGGTGTCTGGGTGGCTCAGTCAGTTGGTTAAGCATCTGCCTTTGGTCCAAGTCATGATCTCTGGTTCCTGGGATTGAGCCCCACATTGGGCTCCCTGCTTAGTGAGGAGCCTGCTTCTCCCTCTGCCTCTCCTCCTGCTCATGATCTTTCTGTATCTGAAGTGAATAAATAAAATCTTAAAAAAAAAAAAAAAAAAAACTTTGACCCATCCAGATTGCATTTGTGTGTGAAAAAACAATCAGGTTTCATTTCCCTCCCCATCAAAAAGATAAGCAGAGTTAATTTTCTCTGCATCATGCGTTGAATCATGAATCTAGTCTTCCCCCGCCCCCCATTATTATAAAGTGTAACTATTATCAAACAATGTGTTCTTACATAAGCAAGTCTATTTGGGATAATCTGATCCTTGTACCACTCTGTTCTAATAATGGAGCTCTTTTAGTTTCTGTTAGTACAGGTGTCATTCTTACCTTCCTCTCTTATTCTGGCCTTGGACAAGTTACTTTAGACTCTCTAAGCCTCAATTTGCCTCTCTGTGAACTGGGGATAATGTTAATGCATATCTTATAGTCTTTGAGGAATAAGTAAGATAACCCATGTAAATATCCCAATGAAGTTGTGATATTAGCTGTAATTATTGGAACATACTGCCTAGTACTCTGCTTTGTGTATATTCAAAAGAAAATTAATGCTAATTTGCTTACTTACTCATATTAAGAAAACTTTGAATTCTTTCCTAGCCTAGTTTTTTTTTTTTTTAAAGGTTTTATTTATTTATTTGACAGAGATCACAAGTAGGCAGAGAGGCAGGCAGAGAGAGAGGAGGAAGCAGGCTCCCCGCTCAGCAGAGAGCCCGACGCGGGGCTTGATCCCAGGACACTGAGATCATGACCCGAGCTGAAGGCAGAGGCTTAACCACTGAGCCACCCAGGTGCCCCCTTAGCCTAGTTTTTAAGCTGGGGTTATTAAGTGTGATCGTTTTTTCTTTTTGAGATTTTATTTTTTGGGGCACCTGGGTGGCTCAGTCGTTAAGCGTTTGCCTTTGGCTCGGGTCATGATCCCAGGATCCTGGGATTGAGTCCTGCATCGGGCTCCCTGCTCAGCGGGAAGCCTGCTTCTCCCTCTCCCACTCCCCTGCTTGTGTTCCCTCTCTCGTTGTCTCTCTCAGTCAAATAAATAAAATCTTAAAAAAAAAAAAACTTTATTTGTCTGAGAGAAAGAGCACAAGTGGGGAGAGCGGCAGGCAGAAGGAGAAGCAGGCTCCCCACTGAGCAGGGAGCCCAACGCAGGACTCGATCTCAGGACCCTGGGATCATGACCTCAGCTGCAGGCAGATGCCTAACCTACTGAGCCACCCGGGGATCCCTGATTGTTTCTTTCCAAAGGCTCTCAAATTCGTGTCCTGGCCTATACTTTAGTACAAGAGCGTTTTAAAATTAACTTTTGAAAATATGTTTTCTATTCAGTTTAAATTCTGATTCTTCCTGAACACTGTAACCCTAAAAATAGGACGTGGCAGATGAATATCTTTCTTTCCACGATGGAAGTCAGACCTCTGCATCGTCCTGTGAGGAGGCAGAGCTGCAGAGCCATGGCCAGGAACAAACTGAGAGGGAGCCGCTTGGTCATGGCACCAAAACCAGGAGAAGGTGCAGGACAGTCCTCAGGAACCCTGACACTCAGGTGAATGGACGTGTGCAAATTCTGACCACCACCTGTGCCAAAATTGGTATATTCTTGGGAAACTTTCTCTTTGAATTTCCTTATGATACCAAACGGTTGTAAACTCTGTGCTGTGAGCTCCGTGAAAGCACAGACCCAAGTCTAGACGGGTCGTCACACCCTGGGTGCTGGCACGTGGGAAGTACTCACTGAGGAGTAAGAACAAATTCAATATGGGTTTAGGAAATATGAAAGTGAGGGAAGTGCTCCCCTAAGTGAGGGCTGGTAAGAAGGAAAGAGAAACCAACATTAGTAGGATTTTTTTTTTTTTTTTTTTTTTTTTTTTTTCCCAACTGGCCTCAGACCTAGTGATCACTCTTCTGTTGGTCATTCAGCAGAATGGTCCTGGGATTAGCCAGAGCCTTCCCTCAGTTACTTGGAGAAGACTCTGATTTTACTTTTTATTCTCTCATTCAAATGTAACTTTACAGGACATAGTCCTAATTTTTATTTTCTAGCCCCATAGAGTCCCTCAGCCATTAGACTATCCATTTACCCCTAGAAGAGCTTATCTTAGCGGGGCTCCGTAGCTCAGGGGTTAGAGCACTGGTCTCGTAGAAGAGCTTATCTTGCTATTTAAGCTTTTCACTGGGCCCTAGTAGGTCCTCTTCCCATCTCTGCCACTCAGAAATCTAATTCTCTCCTACTTTTCTTCCTTTAGCCCCTTTCCAATGTGGGTGCCGATCTTTGGAAGGCAGTGGTGACTTTTCATCATTTAAATCCTTTCTTCCCTTTTAATATTTGTGGCAGGATCATTCAGAGATAAAAGTAAGTGATCACACTGAATTCCAGAATCAAGAGAAGCAGGAACACCAGGATCTCAGAACAGTTGCAGAAGTGCCTTCACCACCAGATGAGAGCCAAGGAGAGGAGAATGCCGTTTCCTCAGGAAAAAGAAGAAGAAATGGTATGCCAAATAAGGAAAACCAAACCGAAAGCCTGAGATTCCAGGGGTATCCCTGTGCATTCATTTCCTAGGACTGACCTAACAAAGTACCCCCAAACCAGACACTTTGTCCTCAGGTCCTGTCAGGGTCACTAAAGGTTAAGACTTGCACATACTGTTCTGAAGAACACAATTCAAACCAGAACGCCATGCTGTAAAACTAAGTGTTCTACAGTGACAGCCGAAGTGAAAACTAAACACAGTCGACCATCAGGTCCTCTTCAGTACTGTTGTGGAAAAACCAGGGTAATAGTGGTAGCTGGACAGTTTAGGCAAGTTGATATCTATGCAGATAAAATGTGGGCTCTCCTCCTCCCCACCAGCTCCTTCAGGCCTGCTCCAGATACCAGTGCACGGAGCTGTGTGCGTGCCTGCTCCCCCACGACTCCTGAAGGGGAACCTCAGAGTCTCCCTTTAGTGGAGGGGGGGTGCTTTTATTTTGGTAAATGTATACTTTCCTTAGTTTCTAACCTTCTAAAAACCTCTTCCCCAAACTGTGTCAACTAAAAGTTTGTTTCAAGGAGACCAGAAACCTTGAGTTCCTCCAAACCCAACAGGACCGGGGGCTTCATGAGTTCCTTGCCCGGGAAACCTGCCCACTGCGCGGTGTCTCATGTTCGCTTCCCCGCAGCAGCCCTGTCTGCGCCGCAGGGCAGGGCCTGATGGAGGGGGAGAGAGAAGGCGACCCACTCCCATGCCCTCCATGCAGTGATGTGCAGAATTTCTAATGCTAACCCGTTCTTCCTTCCCCAGAATTTGGACTGTCTTACTAAATGTCGACAGTTCCTGGAGGTAGAGCTGCTGATTCTGACTGAGACTGGGAGCCTGCAATTTTTTTTTTTTTTTTAAGATTTTATTTATTTATTTATTTAACAGAGATCACAATAGGCAGAGAGGAAGAAGCACGCTGCCTGCTGAGCAGAGAGCCCGATGCGGGGCTCAATCCCAGAACCCCGGGATCATGACCTGAGCCGAAGGCAGAGGCTTAACCCACTGAGCCACCCAGGCGCCCCAAGCCTGCAATTTTTTAATCAACACCCTGGGGAATTAAGATGCATATGCCTCCTAAGCCCAGTTTAAAATCATGATTTAGGGGCGCCTGGGTGGCTCAGTGGGTTGAGGCCTCTGCCTTCGGCTCAGGTCATGATCCCAGGTCCTGGGATCGAGCCCCACATCGGGCTCTCTGCTCGGCGGGGAGCTTGCTTCCTCCTCTCTCTCTGCCTGCCTCTCTGCCTGCTTGTGATCTCTGTCAAATAAATAAATTTTAAAAATTATAAAAAAAAAATCATGATTTAGAGCAAGATATAAAGAAATGTGACCAAGAGTCAAAAGTGGGGGTGGAATTACCAGCATCCACCCCATCTTTTTGTCAGGGAAATTTAGCTGCAGGACCTGGTTTCAAGAGCATGGAGAAACGGGGGGACACATTAAGTTCCCCTAATGAAACACATGCAATAGGGAGAACAAAAATAGGATCACATAGTTTCTGGTAAGAACTTTTTTTTTTTTGACTTTTTATTTTGACATAATTTCAGAACAGTACCAAGTGTTGCTATGTTCTTGATCTCCAAAATGTTAACATTTTGCAGCATTTCCTTTGGTCCTTCTCTATTTATATTTCTATACACATATACATCCATGTAGGTATTGTCTACATTTTGTTCCCTGAGAGTCAGATGCAGAAAAGTGTTCCTTTAGGCTTTAGGGGCACCTGCCTGGCTGGCTGAGTTGGTAGAACATGCAGCTCTTGATCTCAGTGTTGTGAGTTCGAGCCCCACGTTGGGCTTAGAGCTTAAAATAAAACAAACACAGGATTTTCTCGTACAAGTGTATGGAGTACAAAAAGCTCATTGGAAGGGGTTCATATTCCACGTATGCAACTAACCTTTAAGAAACTACTGTTGTTGGGCGCCTGGGTGGCTCAGTGGGTTGAGACTCTGCCTTCGGCTTGGGTCATGATCTCTCAGTCCTGGGATTGAGGCCCGCATCGGGCTCTCTGCTCAGTGGGGAGCCTGCTTCCCCCTCTCTCTCTGCCTGCCTCTCTGCCTACTTGTGATCTCTCTGTCAAATAAATAAAATCTTTGGGTGGGGGGGAGAAACTGTTTGTCAAGTGGTACTTAGCATTGTATCAGAAAAGACTATTCACTGTTCTCTGAAAAGGCTTAATATTACAATACTCTCCCCTTTCAAACACCTGTTTGTGGCAAGATTTGTTTTCATATGTACTTCAAACAAAAAAATACATCATAATATAGCGTATGCAAAAGCAGATAAGAGAATCCAGCTGTCTTTAAAGTCAGACATTTGGTAAATGGTGAAAATATACCATCTTCTCGCTATTTTTGTCTTAGAAATTTTAGCCATTTTTCGTAAATGTTTTTGTTAACCTATAACAAGTACATTTTTTAGTGTATCAAATATTTTAATGTTTTAATTGTAATATCTACTGGCACATACTGATAGAATGTAAACAAAAATAGGGGGAGTCCTTCATAATTTCTAAGAGTCTAACACGATCCTGAGACTAGAAGTGCAAGAATTGCAACGCTGTTCTAGAGATGACGTCATTTAGGTTTCATGAGTTATTCTAGTCATGCCCATTAAAGCAAAGGAAAATCTTGGTTCTGGGAATTCAGTGTCCTATCTCTTTAGTCTACTTTAATCTGGAACATCTTCAGATGTTCCTTCGTCTTTGAGGATTTTTGTTTATTTTGGATGTTTACATTTTTTAATACAGGCCAGTTTTGTTGGGTCCTTGGCCTTGGTTTGTCTAGTAAGTGCTGAGGTTTAGATTTAGATGCTGGAGAAAAAAAAAAAAAAATTTAGAAGCTGGACATGCGGCAGGATCCCACAGAGTAATCCTCAGTCACTGCTCCCAGAAGGCACAGATGGTGGCTTGTGATGACCTTAAGAAGTTGCCCCTTTGTGAAGTGGCTTTTTTTTTTTTTTTCCCATTTGTAGTATCTGGCGAGGAGTGACTCTGACTCCATAAATATCCTGTTGTGCATGGAACGTTACCTTTCTGGTTTTAGAGGCCAGCTCCAAGCAGAAGCCTCTGCAGGCCCTCCTGCCCTACCCCGGCACTCTTTGATGTCTTATGGATGCACTGGGAAACCTCCCGTCTGAGGGACATGATTATACATAGTAGTTCTTGAAAATCCATTTGGATATTTTTAAGTAGATTGCCTCAAGTTGGAAAAGATAACAGAATGTGGTCATAAGTGAAGGGAAAATGGCCAATACATACACCCTGATTTCAACAGGATTTAAAGAATAAAAACTAGTAGGAAAGAGGAGGACCTGAGGAAATAGGCCGAAATGCTCATGGGTAAGGATGTTTCTTAGGTTGGTGGGATTGTGTGGGGGGGTGTGTGGGTGTGTTTTTAAGATTTGATTTTTAAGAAATCTCTACACCTATTTGTCTAATTTGGTGATTAAACTTACAACCCTGAGATCAAGAGTCACACACTCTACCAACTGAACCAGCCAGCCATCCTAGGATTGTGGGATTTTTACTGTTTGAGTTACAATAATCTGTTCATAGCAAAAGTTTTGAAAAAGTTTTCTTAAATTATTAATTAATTATTTGAGAGAGAGCATGAGCAGAGAGAGAAGCAGACTCAGCACTGAGCAGGGAGGCCAATCAAGCCTCAATCCCAGGACCCTGGGATCATAACCAGGGTTGAAGGCAGATGCTTAACCCACTGAGCCACCCAGGCGCCCATTAAATTTCTGATCTATTTACATAACTTCTATACAAGGAAGCATAAAATTTCTTCCTACTTGAAGTGTATGAGCTAAAATTGTAGTGATGCTACAACTACTTCTTTGTGCTCATTTTTCCCACCATCTTAGCACACCCCATCACAAGAAAGTGCCATGTTAACTTCTAGACCCTTTTTTTTTTTTTTTAAAGATTTTATTTATTTGACAGAGATCACAAGTAGGCAGAGAGAGAGGAGGAGGCAGGCTCCCTGCTGAGCAGAGAGCCCGATGTGGGGCTCGATCCCAGGACCCTGGGACCATGACCCGAGCCAAAGGCAGAGGCTTTAACCCACTGAGCCACCCAGGCATCCCGAGACCTTTTTTTTTTTTTCTTTTAAGCTTTATTTATTTTAGTGATCTCTACACCCAGCATGGGAGCTGAAATTACAACCCTGAGATCAAGACTCATACACTCTGACTGAGCCAGCCAGACGCCCCCAGCTTCTAGACGTTTCTTAATAGGGAGAACTTGTTTCGAAATCTTTGATTAGTTCTGTTTCTTTAGATTTAGGTAATGAAGATTCGAAGGTACCTTCAGAAGGAAAGAAGTCTCTCTACACAGATGGGTTTTCCAAACCTGGAAAAAGCAAAAGAACTATAAGCACAACTCCAAGTAAGTTTTACACACACAGAAACAAAGTAATAGTTGGCGCCTTTGGGCTAACGCCAAATACGCAGTGTGCAGGGACAGCTGAAGGCCTGAATGCTGGAATTGGGCCTGCCATCCATCTTCTCTCATTTTCTAGCTCTGAGACCAGGGGCCTCTTAGCCTCGGTAAACCCACTTCCTCACTTTCCAGTGGGAGTGCATATACTACCTATTTTGTCAGGTCGATGAAGTTGGCCCTCCAGTTCTAGATCCCCGCCTAAAGCCGTGACTGCAGTAAAGGGAATCCAATGGGTTTGTGTCCTCGGGATGGAAAAGTTCTGTTTATGCTGTACTATAGTTTAAGTGTGTGATAAGTGTTACGTCTCAAAGAACAATGCATGTATTTTAATTAAATAATTCATTGCTAAAGAATGCTAGCCACCATGTGAACTTGCAGCAAAGTGGTCATCTTTTTTGCTGGCCAAGGGTCTTGTCTCAGTGTGCATGGCTCTGAACGAGGGAGAAGGATGGTGGTTGCTGAAGGTCGGGGCGGCGGGGGGCTGCGACAGTTTCTAAGAACAAGGCCACAGTGAAGTTTGCCCCAACCACTGACTTCCTTTAACAAATGATTTCTCTATAGAGTGCAGTACTGTTGATAGTATTTTACTCCCAGTAGAACTTCATCCAAAACTGGAGTCCATCTTCTCAAACCCTGCTGCTGCTTTATCAACTGAATTTATTCTAAATATTCTAAATATTCTAGAATATTCTAAACCCTTTGTTGTCATTTCAACAGTCTTCGCAGCGTCTTCGCCAGGAGTAGATTCCATCGCAAGAAACCACTGTCTTTGCCCATCTGTAAGAGGCAACTCCTCATCCATGAGTTGTATCATGAGATGGCACCAAGTCAGTCACATCTTTAGGCTCCACTCCTCGTTCTAGTTCTCTTGCTATTCCCACCACAATGTAGTTACTTCCTCCGCTGAAGTCTTGAGCTCCTCAAAGTCATCCTTGAGGGCTGGAATCAGCTCCTTCCAAACTTCTATTTGTGCTGATATTTTGGTTTCTTTCTTTTCTTTTTTTTTTTAAGATTTTATTTATTTATTTGACAGGCAGAGATCACAAGTAGGCAGAGAGACCCTGGGGGAAGCAGACTCCCTGCTGAGCAGAGAGCCCAATGTGGGGCTCGATCCCAGGACCTGAGATCACAACCCAAGCCGAAGGCAGACACTTAACTGACTGAGCCACCCAGGCACCCCTTGGTTTCTTGACATGAATCACAAATATTCTTAATGGCATCTAGAACAGCACATCATTTCCAGAAGGTTTTCACTTTTGCCCAGGCCCATCAGAGGAATTACTGTCCATGGCAGCTATAGTTTCCAAAGTCTATTTCTCAAATAGGACTTGAAAGTCTAAATGACTCCTTGATTTATGGCTGCAGAATGGATGCTGTGTTAGCATGAAAACAACATTAATTTCCTACATCTCCCACTGAGCCCTGGGGTGACCAGGTGCATTGTCAACGAGCAGCCATATTTTGAAAGTAATCTGTTTTCTGAGCAGTAGATCTCAACATTGGGCTTAAAATATTCAGTAAATTATGTTGTAAACATGTGCATTCCAAGCTTTGTTATTTGATTTCTAGAGCACAGGCAGAGTAGGTGCAGTATATAATTCTTAAAGGCACTAGGATTGTCAGACGGTAAATGAGCATTGGCTTCAACTTCAAGTCACCAGCTGCATTAGTCCCTTTCAAGAGTCAGCCTGTCCTTTGAAGCCAGACATTGACTTCTGTAGCTGTGAAAGTTCTAGATGTCATCTGGAAATAGAAGGCTGTCTCAGCTACATTGAAACTCTAGTGTTCATACAGCCGCCACCTCCATTACTGCTCTAGCTCTCCTGGCTCATGTGCTGCAGCTCCTACATGGACATTTGCTGCTTCACTTTGTACTTCTATGTCCTGGGAGAGACATGAACCTCACGAACTGACCTCTGCTAGCTTCCAGCCTTTCTTCCGAAGTTTCCCAACTTCCTCAGCCTTCACAAAATGGAAGGGCATTAGGGACTTGCTCTGGATTAGGATTTGGTGTAAGAGAGCGCTGTGGCTGGTTTGGTCTTCTAACCCAGGCCACTCAGCCTTTCTCTGTATCAGCAATGAGGCTATTTCACCTGAAAACCTCGAGGCCACCATGGGAGCAAATGAACACACAACATTTAAGTTTGTGGTCTTATAGGGGCATTGCTTGCTGTGCCCCAAAACAGTTACAATAATAAAATCAAAGATCGCTGATCACAGATCACCAGAACAAATACTTAACAATAATGAAAAAGGTGAAAATTCTGCAGTAATTACCAAAAGGTAATGCAGAGACATGAAGTGAGCCAGTACAGTTAGAAAGCTGGCTCTTGAGAGGGTTGTGAGAAACCTTCAATTTGTAAAAAGAAACAAAAAACCCAGTATCTCAAAGTGCCGTAAAACAAGATATGTTTATATATAGATTGAGACTAGTTTTCTACCTCTGATGACCTAGCATAGCACCTAGCACATGGCAGGTAGTCAGTAAATCTCTGCAAATGAATGTCTCTAAAGTACTTTGTACAATGTCCACCTTGTAATTATGTTTCTTAAAATTTTTTAAGTAATCTCTCTACCTCCAAAATGGGGTTTGAATGCACGATCCCAAGATCAAGAGTCAAATGCTCTATTGACTGAGCCAATCAGGCACCCCTAAATTTTTTTTCAGTAATAAGTTTAAGGGATTCCATATCTAAAAGTGTAATTGCTTGTTATCTATTGCGTGGTACATAGCATGTTGAGGTATTGTGTATTTATAGTACTTAGAATGCTGCTCAGCACATATTAGAAATATATATACTTGGGGCACCTGGGTGCCTCAGTGGGTTAAGGCCTCTGCCTTCAGCTCAGGTCATGGTCTCGGGGTCCTAGGATCGAGCCCTGTATCGGGCTCTCTGCTCGGCAGGGAGTCTGCTTCCTTCCTCCCTCTCTCTCTGCCTGCCTCTCTGCCTACTTGTGGTCTCTGTCAAATAAATAAATAAAATCTTAAAAAAAAAAAGATATTAAAGATATATACTTCATAGTTAATTAGAATTTTAATTTTTAAATTTTTTTTTATATTTATTGTTTTTTTAAAGTAATCTCTATACCCAACATGGGCTTGAACCCAAACCCCAAGATCAAGAGTCACGCACTCCTCTGACTGACCAGCTAGGCCTCTCAAGAATATTCTTAATCAGAATAGCACAGAGCAGGGACAGGCTAATTGCTGCCAGCCCTGGCCTGTCTTAAAACCCTTAAGCTAAGAATGTTTTTTAGTTTTAAAAGATTGTATTTTAAAAAAAGAGAGAGAGATCATACCATATGTGGCCACAAAGACTAAATAAAATATTTACTGTCTGACCCTTAACAGAAAAGGTTTGCCAATCCTTGGTATAAAGCTTTCTAAGCATTGTAAAATGTTATACTTATGATTAAGTAAAGGCCATTTGATTAACTGGTGAGGGGAAATGAAAAATCTTACTCTTTTCTTGTTCTGTGGATTAAACCAAGTTGTCAGTTAACAATGAAATGGACAGAGGAGAGCAGTATACGTTGAATAGTTAATAAGATAAATATACTTTGTCCCTAAGTTTACAAAAACTGAAAGATTTGAAATTAAAGTTTTAGCAAAGATGATGTTGAAGTTGAATGTCAGGGATGCAGAGAAGAGAATAAGTGTTAACAGAAAGACAAAGGAAAGGTGAATAAATGGATTTGTCTTGTTATTAATTATTATATTTGGGGGAACATTCTAGACTTTAAGAAGCTTCACGAGGCTCATTTTAAGGAAATGGAGTCCATCGATCAATATATTGAGAGAAAAAAGAAAAATTTTGAAGAACACAATGCATTTCATGAACTGAAGGTATGCTGATAAAATTATGTGGGTTTTTTTTTTGTTGTTGTAGTTGTTTTAAGATTTATCTGAGAAAGAACAAGCACAAGCAGGAGGGGTAGAAGGAGAGGGAAAGAGAATCCCAAGCAGACTCAGCACTGAGCGTGGAGCCCAACTCAGAGCCTGGTCTCAGGACTTGGAGATCATGACTTAAGCCAAAACCAAGAGTCATATGCTCAGTTGATGTGCCACCCAGGTGCCCCCCAAATTATGTTCTTAATGGGACTGGACTATTTGACTTTATGTTTTTATTTTTGTCAAAGTTTTTTTTTTTTTTTTTTTTAAGATTTTATTTATTTATTTGAGAGAGAGACAGTGAGAGAGAGCATGAGTGAGGAGAAGGTCAGAGAGAGAAGCAGACTCCCCGCAGAGCCGGGAGCCCGATGCGGGACTCGATCCTGGAACTCCAGGATCATGGCCTGAGCTGAAGGCAGTCGTCCAACCAACTGAGCCACCCAGGCGTCCCTTTGTCAAAGTTTTTATTTATTTGAGAGAGAGACCAAGAAAGCAGAAGCAGGGGGAGTGGCAGAGGGAGAAGCAAGTTCCCCACTGAGCAGGGAGCCCGATGCAGGACTTGATCCCAGGACCCTAGGATCGTGACCTGAGCCAAAGGCAGATGCTCAACCCGCTGAGCCACCAGGTGCCCCAAACTGTTTGATTTTCATGTCAATACCTTAGCTAATACAGCCAGCTTTTTATTGTTCTACCAGTGGAATGGATTTGAGTTTAATATATCTTTATTATCAGAAATTTCTTCTCCCACCATAAGAATTTTCAGAACTCTCAGAATAAAACCAGAAGTCCTCACTATAAAGAACTAATTCAAAACACCAGTAAGTTGTTCTGTTTTCAGCACTCACACATTGTGCTTATTACTTTGGTTGAGGATGGGCTGATTTACGGGTGAAGGCATTTTCATTCCCTGTCTCTCATGTAAAGGAAAAAGGACTGAGTTGCCGTGGCTTACTTATGGCCTCCCTAGTAACTGAGCTCCTGGGATCCCTTTAGTCCAGGTGCTGGGGAACTCAAGGTCCCTTCGAGTTAGAAAAGGTGATGAAGTCAGCCCCGAGGCTGACTTAGAGCAGTGAGTTGACAATATCCTGTTACTCTTTTACGTGGTCTCCGGTGGTCAAGAGAAGCCACACAGAAGACTGGGGAACATCTATTTTAGAATTTCATTAATACCTACAATGTGCTTATTTCTCAAGAGGAATTGGAGGCAGTCTTTGGTATTTCAACACAAAACAGTATAAAGTTGACTGGAAAGGGGCAGAACATGAGTACTGTTAGCAGGGACAGTATCTGCTGTGTCAGTCAGTTGAGTTTTCAGTTTCCTGATACAAATGCCAACACAGAAACACAATAGGTGACAAGTTCTACATAATTTAAAAACAAAAAACAAAAAACACACCATAAGCTTCTTAGAAGCTGAATCTACTTTTTTTTTTTTTTTTTTTTTAAGATTTTATCTATTTCGGGGTGCCTGGGTGGCTCAGTGGGTTAAGCCTCTGCCTTCGGCTCAGGTTCATGATCTCAGGGTCCTGGGATCGAGCCCTGCGTCCAAGCCCTGCGTCGGGCTCTCTGCTCAGTAGGGAGCCTGCTTCCCCCTCTCTCTCTGCCTGCCTCTCGGCCTACTTGTGATCTCTGTCTGTCAAATAGATAAATAAAATCTTAAAAAAAAAAAGATTTTATCTATTTGACAGAGAGCGAGAGAACGTGAGAGGGGGACCACAAGCACAGGGAGCAGGAGAGGGATAAGCAGGCCACCCTAGAAGCTGAATCTAAAGGAGTAACATTCATTTGAACTCTTTATAAAACCACTGCTAACCTAGCATTTCCCAACCAGCTAACAGGGACAAAGCCAAGCCATGGCATTTGAAGGCCTCCATTGCTGCCTACTGATCCAACAGCAGGGTGTGGAAATCAGCAAAGAGATACTCAGTGTGCCCCTAATAACACTTGCTTAAATATTAGCAAGGGCTAGGTATCACTACATTGACAGTTGAATACCTGGCTTTTGCTGATGATTTACAGGAAGTAGACCTCTAGTTTTGTTTTTTGTTTTTGTTTTTGCATGAGAACAAGCTAGCTGCACATACGCCTACAAGCAGGCATTCCCTCACCTTCCATGAAGCCGAGTCTACTGAAATACTTGATTGAACAAGTTTTCTATACTACATAATATGGGTTAGTCAGTTTTCCAGGCAAAAATTAGGGCAGAACAGGTATCTCAACCCTAAACTTGAGTGTAGCCCTGAAGATGTGTTTAATAAATGAGTAGGTCATCTTATTTTTTTACAGCTACCCGCCGCCCCCCCCCCCCGAATGAGTTTAGTTCTAAAATCTCATCCCCACTCCCCAGTAAGGAATAGATCTCTCAGATGGGTTATTTGGTATGATCTATTTGGAAACTGGAAAATAAAAAACAATTATAGTGATGTCACCGTAGCTGTCAAGAAAAATTTCCTATCAGCTGACATGTTTTGGGATTGATCATTGGACAGTGTTGGATAATAACGAATAAGCAGAGATCCTAGACAAAATCATCCTGGGCACAACCTGTTTCTCCTTGATTTTTACAGTTCGGGCAGGGAGACCTATTTGATTTAGTTGCCAGATGGCTCTCTTCAAGCATCAGTAACCTCGTGCCCCAAGATGCCTGTTTATCTTGCCAACAGTGGGAATGATGAATTTTTAAAATCTCTATTAATATGAAAAAATTCCAGTTGACCTTTCTTTGATCATATGTTTATATAATTGGCTGGGATGTTTTTGTGCATTTGTGTTTTCTTAATTTTTACCCATCTGTTAGCCATTTATATTAATGCTATATATTCTATACTATACTTTCCTTCAGTTTATCTTTTAACTATATTAATGGTATCTTTTATCTTGCAAAGGATTTTTTCTTAAATTTATCCAACTGTTCTTTTTAAGGGTCTGCGTTTTTTATGTGTCACACCCTGCCTCTGCCAAGATCATAAAAATAAGTTCTTATGTTTGTACTCCTTTTATTATTTTCCCCTATATTTAATCCTTAACCCACTTTTTTTTTTTTTTTTTTCAAATACGGTATGATTGACCTCTTTGCTTTGTTAGGATTGAACGGGGTTTTTATTGCTAAAAGAAAGAGGAATTGGTTACATATTTGCTAACAAAACGAGTTAGTACTACTAGAACCAATGGCTTAATATTCTACCTGAAAAAAAGTCAGATGGGTAAGGGCTAGTAGACTCATTCCTGCATTATAAGTAGTTCAGAACAAAGAAGCAGAGTTGATGGTCCTGACACCAAGTGAACCGTGAGGCAACGCAGCATGGAAAGTGGGAATCTTGGGGGAAAGATAGAAGGCAGCATAAAAAGTGTGATTAAATAGAACCATGTGCTTAATATAGCTAACCTGGGCTCCGGCCTTATGGTATAGATGTGTGTTTACTAAGTATTTTAGTAAGTTTTAACTTTGTGTCACATTAGAATCTCTTCTGCTTATATGTTGAGAAGTTGACATAATTCTCTCGAATGCTTGTATTTCCTAGGATATCAGAATTTTTCTGTCTTTGGCTTCACCTCATCAATAGGAGTAGTCCCACCACTGTTGTCCCTTCACAAAGTTGTATTTCTTTTGCTTGTAAGAGCTTAAACCAGTGATAGACATCATTATTCTTTATGCTCTGATAATATCTAAAAAATGATAACCTAGGTGGACCTTCCCCAGCCATTTCAAAGGGAGGGTTTCCCTCCCTCCCTCTGTTTCTGGTTTTTTGTTTTGAAGAACTTTAAGAACTCGTGGTGGGGGGGGCTGTGGGGACAGGAGTGAAATTATGTGTAGATTCTGTGTGTTAATTACATAATAGGTGGTTCTTTGAGTTTGTATTTAATAAACTGCTTGTCACATTCTCAAAGATATTATATCCAAGAGAAGCTATTTATCCTTCCTTTCTGGCCATAGGGGACTTTTAAACCATGTTTAAGCCACATTCTTTAGTCAGAAAATACCTGGGTTCATGGCAGCTGGGAAAGGCTTCTGTAGTACAGGACTCAGCACAACCAGAAGTTATTTCTGATTCGGTCGCCATAGCGATACAGGTACAAGCAACTGCCCTGCCCACCTGGTAGGGAGGAAAAGGATGAGGCGGTGAGAATGAAAGATACAGGTGGGGTTAAAATTAGGGATAGAGGGGCCCCTGGGTAGTTCAGTTGGTTAAGCAACTGCCTTCAGTTCAGGTCATGATCCCCAGTCCTGGGATCGAGCCCCATATCGGGCTCCTTGCTGAGCGGGGGAGCCTGCTTCTCCCCTGCCTGCCATTCCATTCCCCCTGCTTGTGCTTGCTCTCTCCCTCTCTCTGTCAGATAAATAATTTAAAAAAAAAAAAAAGTGGGGATGGAACAACGGGATGAACGAAGCTGCTCTAGAGACAGTGCTAAGAAGCCCAACTTGAACATGGTGTGGTATCTTTCTGCAGAAGCAGCCGGCCACCAAGGGCGCAGTGGTGACTCCAGTTCCTCTCCGGGGAAGGCTCCCCTTGGCTTGCACTCCCACCAGCCAGCCCCGCTCACAGGGCCGGCCACTGGGCGCTACGGGTAGGAGCACCTTGTGTGGGAAGGGCTCTGCCAAGCGTTCCATGCTCTCGGCAACTAAAATGAACGTCAGGTAAGAAGAGCTCCAATATGTAATCGAGTAGGAGGTCTCAAAGCTTTACTGCCTCCTGATCATTTCAGGTGGGTGACATCAAGTATGTTTAACGTTGATGAAAAAGAAGGCAGAAGGGGATCAGAATGGAGAGAGGAAAATAAGTGGATGGTTTTTATAAGCTCTAATCTTTTTTCTTTAAATTTGTCTCGGGTTTTCTTAAACTTCTCTAAGCTCACATTGGGTTTGTAAGTAAAGATAGAAGGTATATATGGATATTCATTTTATTAGTTTAACGTATGCCTATAAAGACATGTAAAGAGAAATTTTTCCATTGACTTAAATGTAAAGTTGAAGCTAAATACCTATAGAAAATAACTGATTAGTCCTAAAGTGTAACTTTTGTAACCCACTGGGTACTGCAGTGTGAGTTACCCTGTGCCCCGCTAACCCCTGTTTTCTTTTTGTACTTTCCCTGACACAGGGTAGTCCCCATTTTAACTTTCCCAGAGATGAAGATCTTCAGGCCTCCTTTATTTTTATTATTTTTAAAGATTTTATTTATTTATTGGACAGAGATCACAAGTAGGCAGAGAGAGGGGGAAGCAGGCTCCCTGTTGAGCAGAGAGCCCGATGCAGGACTTGATCCCAGGACCCTGAGATCATGACCTGAACCAAAGGCAGAGGCTTAACCCACTGAGCCACCTAGGCACTCCAATTTTATTTTATTTATTTATTTTTTTTAATTTATTTGACAGAGATCACAAGCAGTCAGAGGCAGGCAGAGAGAGAGGAGGAAGCAGGCTCCCTGCTGAGCAGAGAGCCTGATGCGGGGCTCGATCCCAGGACCCTGAGACCACAACCCGAGCCGAAGGCAGCGGCTTAACCCACTGAGCCACCCAGGCGCCCCTCCAATTTTATTTTTAAGTAACCTCCACACCTGGTGTGGAGTTCGAACCCACAACTCTGAGGTCAAGAGTTGCATGCTTACCAACTGAGCCAGCCAGGCGCCCCTATTCTCTCCTTTTTAAAGGGTGTTCGCAGCGTCTAATAGTGTTGGTACCTGGTGATACTTCCCCAACACCTGCAGTTATCTGATGTAGTGTTTAGACCTTAAAAATGCCCTGAAGTTTGGAACCCTATTGAGTTAGTGTGGAACGTGAGGTACCTCTACGTGGCAGTTCTGACTGTATTTAATAGTACTGAGGAACAGCATGGTCGGGGCGAGTCCTTGCTCCAGTGTAGTGTTCACAGCAGCCTGGACTTCATGGCACCTCTCCTAACACGCAGTTGTCTTAACTGGGTCGAAAGGTAATGCTGATACCTCATAATTTGGGGTGCTGATACAGGATTACTGCCACATCTTAGTTGCAAGTCCAGAAGTTGTCTTCTGTTAACCTACCACCACCACCATCGTGTATATTTACGTCTGTCCTTCTTGAGTTTCGCTGACTCTAAGACACCATCAAATGGAGACTCATTACTTTATGAACCACTAAGAAAAAACCCACTGCCAGTTATCATGTGTTACTAATTATGAAACACATCCCAATTTCAGATGTTAAAATTCATAAGAAATATGCATCATAATCAGTGGAATAAATTTATGGCAATTTGCCAGGAGAACAGGGTTATGTACCATTTAAATGAATGACCATTTACTAGGAAGACTGTCCCCATCACTTATCTGGCACAGCAGTCTCCTGTTCCCTGACAGGCCGTCACCAGGAGGAAAAAAGGGGGAGTGGTTGAAGTACCTCCTAAACTGTAATTTGAGCCCCAAAGGCATTCCCTTGGAGCTCTACCTTGTCCTGTCACTGGGCAAGGCAAGGAAAGCAGTGAATACAAAACCATATTTTACAAATCAAGTGTTGTAAAATGTTTATTCTGCAAAAGAGGTTCATTCACGTAACAAGTCTATATTTGAGCCCTTTCACAGGTGGTTTTGCTTTTATGCTTGACACAAGTTACTCTTCACACAAACACTCATGTTTGGTACTCCACTGTCCTGTTCAGGTTTTCAGCTGCTACCAAAGATAATGAGCATAAGCGTTCACTGACCAAGACTCCAGCCAGAAAGTCTCCACATGTGACCATATCTGGGAGTACCCCAAAAGGCCAGGCTGTGCTCGGGATATACAAGATAAAGACCACAACTGGGAATTCCACTTCTGGTAAAACAAAAAAACAACTCTGGTTCATCTTTAAGCCATGTAACTTCCTCAAATTATTAAGTGTATTTGTTTACTGAAAGCTTCTCCATAACTATAAATCCAAAGCAAAAATTTGAGCATAGCATATTTTTCATTCTGTATGGGTGAAGAAAATGCCAGAGACACGGACAAAAAACAGGTATCTGCCTGAGGACTCCATCTTGCTATAAGGAGTCCTAAGACAGTGACCCTCCCTGAAGAGCATTCAGCCCATTCCCGGACTCCGGGATTAGAAGGAGGATCACAGTATTCATTACAGCCTCTGACTGGCCTTCCAGGATTGTGAAACTAATAGGATCCCAGAGTTGGTGGAATAAATGCCACACAATGGACTAATAGATTCTGTAAGCCAGACTAAGCCATATGGACACTCTTCTACACATGGTCTACTTAATCACCTAAAAGGACTAGGTGGTTTTCAAAAGAATACTGCAGTAGCAGTACAAAGTAAAAAACAAACAAACAAAAAAAACTACAACCAGGAGATTGAGGCCTGTTTTAGAACTATGTCAAAATTCTCCTGAGAGTCCCATTGAATACGTCAGCCAAGAGCCATGATCACATAGAAAGGCTCGCCAACTCCTCTGAGGCTGTCGGTTAATAATCTACGTAGAGACTTTATGAGCGTTTCTTCATACCTTAAAGACAGGAACGTGAGGCTGACAGCTACATTTTAAGTGAGTCCAGAAGCAGTATGTATGTGGGTATTTCCAGCTTTTGTTTAGTGTCATGACCATTCTTAACCATGTCTCCTGTATGTATGAGAGCGGTTCTCTGGAGCTCAGATGGACTGGGGTATACTGGCCAGCTTGAATGGTAGCTACTGAAACTGCTCGGCACTGTGGATGGCCTGTGTTCCCCCACTGCTGGCACCTGACAGCCACACCACGGGATGAACGCAGAGGGGTTTTGTGCTTTTCTCACTTAACTGCGTGGTCCTAAATCTTAGTTGCTTATTCATACTTACATGCAAGTGCTGACATTCAACAACAGCCTGCGATGGGAGAGAATTAATAAAATGTGCCTGATACATGGTGCCCAACTGTAGCGAAAATTTGGCTTACTGAGTCTTACCATTCTAGTATATTAACTTTACAGTACAAAAATTCACATTTTGAAATAACCGCTTCTATTACCTGACAACCAGAGCCACAAATCTTGTCTGCCATATCTGATTAGGTTCCTGCAGGCTTTATATCCATGTGAATGAAAATGTTACTATTAACATTTTTTTCCGAAGACATTTCACTTTGATTTTGAAAGGTAAAATGAGTGTTCATCATAGAAAACTTGAAAAATACAAAAAGTTATAAAGAAAATATAAAGAGCGTCTATAGTCCTGCACCCAGAGATTGCACTGCTGTTTCCTCTGACCCTGTAATCACCACTAAACTATTAACAACATATTTTTGAAGGGTAAATAATATGAGGGACACAGCCTGAACATTTACCCAATTATTTAAACAGGATTTTCAACTCCCAGCTGATTCTAGGAAACAGCCTAATATTGAGACTATTTGGGGAGCTATTCACAAGGGAAGCCTCAGTGATTAGCTTTCCTTAGTTATTTTCCCCCCTTTCCTTTTTAAAACTACATGTTTGAGACTGTTCACAGAGATGATATATTTAAGACTGAGAAACAGTACTTCAACAAAAAACCATATAGGCCTTTTATTTTTCCCCTAATTAAGCCCTGGGGTTTTGTTCCTTGGTTCTGTAGTTGTTACACCATTCAGGCTGACAACTCAGGCAGCACAGACTCCAGTCTCCAGCAAGAAGCCAGTGTTTGATCTCAAAGCAAGTCTGTCTCGTCCCCTCAACTATGAGCCACACAAAGGTACGTGCAGATGCTCCGAGATACGAGACATGCCAAAGACGTAGGATTAAACAGTTCTACGTCTGAGGATGTGGAAAATTCTAATGCCTCAGCGGAAAGCTGTACTTGGCCACCTAGAATTTCTTCCCCCTGGGTCCACTTGACCGTAATTTAAAAGACTATCCACTAAGCAAATACTAATCAACTCACTTAGATTTTTGTAAATCAAAGCCATAACTTCTAATCAGTGTTACAGCAAAGAAATAAAATTTCAGGCAAAAATCAAGAAACTTGGAAATTGGCCTATGGACAAATGAATGTTTTCTTTAAAACTTTCGAAGGATCCCAGGCTGGAATCCACCCACCCAACAACCTGGGACGTTTATTGGCTATATAAATGCCCATATAAATTGGGCATACATTAAAGCATCCATATATCCATTTAAAACCAATACTAACCACCACCACCACCAATACTTCATGTGGTCCTTCCATAATTCCAGAATTGCTTTATATATTTTTTTAAAAAATTTTGTCAGGGGGAGCCGCAGGCAGAGGGAGAAGCAGGTTCCCTGTTGAGCAAGGAGCCCAACATGGGACTTGATCCCAGCACCCTGGGATCATGACCTGAACCTAAGGCAGATGCTTAACCGACTGAACTACCCAAGCGTCCCTAGAATTGCTTTAAAAACAGTAAGACTTCTCTAGGTGCCTGGGTGGCTCAGTGAGTTAAGCGTCAAACTCTTGATTTCAGTTCAGGACATGATATCAGGGTCCTGAGATTAAGCCCCACATCAGGCTCTGTGCTCAGCAGTCTGCTTGAGATTCTTTGCCCCTCCAGGCCATGTGTGCACACGAGCTCTTTCTCTTAATAAATCTTTCAAAAAACAAAAAAAAAAAAAACCTTGTTTTTAGGGGGAAAAATACAATTTATATTTTGTGGAATAGGAACTAAAACTAATGGAATTATACAGGCAAATGTCAATAAAAATGAAGTATAAATATTCATAGCAAGTAGCCTCAGATGAAGAGAATAAAACAGGTAATATAAATAGAATCTTCTTAAATCTTTCTCTCCTAAACCAGGCAAACTGAAACCATGGGGTCAATCTAAAGAAAATAATTCTCTGAAGGAACATGTAAACAGAGTTAGCTTCCACAAGAAAACTTACAAACAACCTCCTCTCCAGACTAGGTGAGTACATAATTACCCAGTACTACAGTAATTTTAATTTTGAAAGACTGTATGTAAAAGCAAAGCCTCTGAGGTACAGAGTGTCATTAACAGTGGTGTTTAAGAAAAGGTAGTCGTGGGATCACATATAGGACTTCTTGAAGATATACATGCCTAGGGCCCACCACAGTGGTTTTTTAATTCAGTAATTGGGAGGAGGGGCCCAAGCAACTGCACTGTTTCCAAAGCTCGACAGGTGATACACAAGGAGACCCTGCTCTCACATGACCTACCAGCCCCAACAGTGTACCTGGATGTCCCCCCAGATGCCGATCCAAGTGCACAGGTGTAAGTTCTTCAGTCCCAGGGAAACCAGGCTTACTAGGCTTCAAGGCCTTAGCCAGAAGAAATCCCCGGATGATCCTTAGAGGCTTCCTTCTGTGTGAAAACTGAAGCCCAAAGCTTGCTGTGGGTTTTAGCTGGTCCTGGCTGAGCTGATTCCCTGAACAAAACCATCCTGATACAGGATTACCCATCATTTGACTTGCCTATATCCAGCTCCCACCAAGACATTTATTTACTACCTATATTTGCTATTAAGATTGTTAACATAGGGGCATTTGGCTGGCTCAGCTGGAAGAGCATGTGGCTCTTTATCTTGGGATTGTGAGTTTGAGCCCCACCTTAGGTGTAGCGATTACTTCATGATTTTTTTTTTTTAAGTTTAACATAAAACTAGCCTCCCCCAACCCCTCCTACCAATCCCCAATCCCTTCCAGAAACAGAGTGGCTTAGATCAGCAGACCCTAGTTCTAGTACTTCCACCAGACTGATTTTGAGCCTGACCTCTGACTTCCAAAAGCAGAGATTTCTCATTTAAAACAGAGGTACCGAGGTGTCTTTTGTTCCAGTTCCATGCTTAATTTTAGAATGCTGCATTAACATAAAAAGGAAAATGCCACTTTCCTAGCCCTTTTAACACAAGGGACATAGAGCTGTGGTTTCCATAGGGCACTAGCTAGAGGACAGTGTCCTGTAAGTGTGTTTTGTACAACTATACTGGATTTCAGCTTAAGCTTAGATACTAGTCTGACAGGTGCTTTAAAGTGGACTTTTGTGGAGCTTCACTAGACCCTAATGTGTACCTGTCCCCCCTTTAGGGAGGAACAACGGAAACAACATGAGCAAAGACGAAAGGAGAAGAAAGCAAAGGTTTTAGGAGCTCGGAGAGGCCTCATTATGGCTGAAGATTAATTTTTTAACATCCTGTAAATAGTATTTTATTCTGAACCCTTTCTTTAGTGTAAACATTTTTTTTCTACTGTCTTCCCCACTTTAGTCAAAAGATTCTTCTGCTTTGTTCACTATCTATGTAGTGTTGGTGGTTTTCCTCACATGCTACATCCCTGAAAAGATGTTACTAACCTTAAAGCTCACAGATGCTTTCAAATGGTTTTTACCTATCTCTGTACAATTCAGTTTTCCAGTGACTCATCCTATAGATTCTTGACCTAGATTTTTAATGTCAAGTTCCCTCTGCTGACAGAACTGGAATCCTCTTCTAGACAGAAGCATTTACCTGATGGGAGGTAGTTCTCCCACAAGATTTAGTAGAACTTGGACCACTAACAAGCTGAGAAAGCCACCTCTTCCTCCTCTAGAAAATCAAGTAGTCTTAATGAAACAGGGAACCAAATGGGTTAGTGATGGCATATTCTACTTCGAGTAGTGTTTTGTTACCTATGCAAGTTTGTTCAGATCACTTGATGTAATTGCCCTCTGTCACTCAATATATTCTTAAAAACTCTACAGTTCATTCTAGCCTGACTTATTTAAAAATAAACAGGGCCATACTGAAATCTGAGGATTGCTGCTTCAAGGATTGGTCTGCTCTGTCAGAGTTACTTCATGGAAAAGACTAGAGTTGCTTAGCCTCCTAGCCATGTTTATTGCACTGAGGTGGACCTTCTGAGCTTTGTACTGTTCAAGATTTTCATAAATGTTTTCTCATGGTGGTAGATTCTTTGTAAATTACTTCATGATTGAGTTGACCAGCTAAGGTTAACAAGCTTACTTATACTCTGTGCATCTGTCCTGACCACCTCTTCTCACCCTAAGGAGAAATGACCAGGTCATCCCCTTGTATTTTTCATAGCACATGTCCAACTCTGTTATACTTACTGTTAAACATATACAAGCCCACAGAAGGTTGGCATACTCCTAGTGATGAATAAACTCAGATTTTGCTCTTAAGCAGAATCAGGTCAATTAAATCACCATCAAATGCACTACAGCTAAGAAGGTAAAAGGATATAATCACTTTGGAAAACAGGTTGGTAGTTTCTTAAAGTTAAATATGTCTACCACAGGGGAGCCTGTGTGGCTCAGTTGGCTAAGCAACTGCCTTCGGCTCAGGTCACAATCCTAGGTTCCTGGGATCGAGCCCCTCATCAGGCTCCCTGCTTGGTGTGAAGCCTGCTTCTCTCTCTCCCTCTGCTGCTCCCCCTGTTTGTGCTCTCAACCAAAAAAAATCTTTAAAAAAAAAAAATTTTTATATATATACATATATATATAATCTACTACATTACCCAGCAATGGCATGTGTAACATTGAAGCACAAGAGGCACATGACCTTCTATTCCTAGGTATATACCCAAGAAAAAGAAGCACATGTCCACATAAGAACTTATAGGCTGATATTTACAGTAGTATTCATTGTAGCCAAAAAATAAAGAAAATCCAGTTGTCCATTAATAGATTAAAAATGATGCACTTAAAAGGAAATAAAGTCCTAATATTACAACATGGATGAATCTCACAAACACTATGCTAAGTGAAAAGAAGCCAGACATAAAAGATTACATATTACATAATTGTCTTTGTGGGACATATCCAGGTACGCTGAACCTATGGGAAAGCAGATGAGTAGACACCTGGGGCAGGGGGTGGGAATTAAGAATGCCTGCCCAAGGGGCGCCTGGGTGGCTCAGTGGGTTAAAGCCTCTGCCTTCAGCTCAGGTCATGATCCCAGGGATCGAGCCCCGCATCGGGCTCTCTGTTCGGCAGGGAGCCTGCTTCCTCCTCTCTCTCTGCCTGCCTCTCTGCCTACCTGTGATCTCTGTCTGTCAAAAAAAAAAAAAAAATCTTAAAAAAAAAAAAAAGAATGCCTGCCCAAGGGGTATTAAGGTTACTTCTAGGGCAGATAGAAATTTTCTAAAATTAGCTTGTGATAAAAATCGACAAGTCTGAATATACTAAAAATCACTGGATTGTATAGCAATCTTTAGCAATCTCCTTTCCTCCAACGATGGATTAGAAAACACAAGAACCAGGGGCGCCTGAGTGGTTCAGTGGGTTGAAGCCTCTGCCTTCGGCTCGGGTCGTGATCCCAGGGTCCTGGGATTGAGCCCCACATTGGGCTCTCTGCTCAGCGGGGAGCCTGCTTCCCCCTCTCTGTCTGCCTCTCTGCCTACTTGTGATCTCTCTCTGTCCAATAAATAAATCTTAAAAAAAAATTTTTTTTTTAATAAAAATAAAAAAAAAAAAAAAAACAAGAACCGGGGCGGCTGGGTGGCTCAGTGGGTTAAGCCTCTGCTTTCAGCTCAGGTCATGATCCCAGAGTCCTGGGATCGAGCCCCACATCTGGCTCAGTGGGGAGCCTGCTTCCCCCTCTCTCTCTGCCTGCCTCTCTGCCTACTTGTGTCTACTACTCTGTCAAATAAATAAAATCTTTAAATAAAAAAAAAAAACACAAGAACCTACAAGGAACAGAGTAGGAGAAGGACCTCAACAGTCATTTTGAGGGCTGCTTGCTTTGGCAATGTGTATGTGTGTAGGAACTGTTCCTAACAAATCATTTTAACCCAAAACAGTTAAGTTCTTTACATAGTACCTCCACATCAGGACTTGCATTAAGTTATAGCTTAGAACCTAGTTTCATGCTGCGTCTCACTGTGTGGCCCCTCTTGGCAACAGCATTTACCTTTGGCTCAGGGAATACATACCAGCTGTTGGATGAAAGCCATTAAATACTTTATTTGTCTCAGTCATCACGGATACTGCTACTCTTAGTTTGGTACTACAAAATTACCATCTCTATTTAAAAAGTCTTGGGTTAAGCTCTGGAGAATTTTCATAGGCGAACTCTTCTGTGTGGGCTGGATCTGTAAACACTCCAATAAAATCTATTTCCAGGAAGAATGGACCATCCACTTTATCAGCCAAGGTGAATCCAATAGAAGAGATCTACATTTAAAATAGAGAAACTGATCAAAATCTCATACACTGACACTGTTCCTGGAGTTTAAGTTCCATAAGGTGATTAATATAACTGGGTCTTTACACTATCAGGCCTTAACAAGTATACCATAGTTCTATGCTGTAGCAAATCATAAAAGGAAGTGGAGGGCTGATTTTCTTTCTACTCCTCTTCCCTTTCTTTAAAGTAGTGCCACTTAAGACTGGTGAGGACAGCATGGATATCTAATGGAGGATCCTTGAAGCCCTCCTGAACTGGAATACTGTTCTCTTATTTTGGAGCTAAATTAAATGTAGGCAAGCTGAAAAGATGACCACACTTCAAGTCCTCCTGCATGGTTTGGTTCATAGAACAGGTCTGAGTCAGTCTGTGTGTGGAATACCTGGGATGACCTTGTTAAGAATTTGCCATTCATTGCCAACCCTCAAAATGGACTTGAAATCCTCACAGGAGTTTTGTTTCACTAAAGATCACAGCTCTGAGTGAAAGTATATTTAGGAAAATACTACCTTGTCAAGCAGAAGCTGGTACTGGGCATCCCGAATTCTTCCTTGATTAGAGAAGAAAAATTTGGAGAAAGGAATCTGAAAAGAGAAACCATTTACTTCAGAGCTAAAATACAAGCAACTGAGGCATCTGTAATGGAACTGCAGTGATAGTTTAATTCTAACATTCTTTGATTCTAATCTTACAGTTCTAATTTACAGTTATGGCAAGTGGCCAGGCATTTGGATCATAGATATATTTTTTTAATTGAAATAGTGTTAGATGAAAACCTTTCTAAGCCAGAAATCCCAAAGGAAAAATGGTAAGAGTACAATTTAATTTTTTGACAGCAAAGGCAAAAGATAAATTAGGAAAAAAATATTTCCAACATTTATGGACAAAAACTAGTATCTACAAAGCTTTCACAGGTGACTAAGATTTAACAATCAATGGAAACATGGGGACGGGGAGAAATGGGCACACTTGTATGCTACTGGTAGGCGTACAGACTGGCACGACTCAGAGACTAGCCCGAAACTGGGAGGCAGGAGTCTACGAGGGCCCCAAGATTTCCACCTTCTGTATCCACACACCTTCCAGGTATTCACCCTAACATCTGCTGCTGAGGAAGGTCCCAAAGCACCTGACCTTAATATAGGGAAGATTATCCTCTGAAGGCCCAACTTAATCACTTGAGCCCACAGGAGGACTGGCAAAAGAGGTTAAAAGCATCTCTTGGGAGCAGATTCTTCACTGCTGGGGCTGAAAAGGGCAGAAGCAAAATGACAAGGATTGCAGGAAGCTTCCAGGAGCTGAGACTGGCACTCAGATGACAGCCAGTACAGAAAGTCCTATAATCATAGGAACTGAATCTGGCCAAAAACTACAATGAACTTTTAAGTGGATTCTTCCCCAGAGCCTCCGGAAAGGAATACAACCCAGTTGACAACCTTGATTTTAGCCTTCTAGGCTCCAAGCATTGAACCCAGCTATACCAAGCCCCAACTCATGACCTACTGAACTGTGAACTAATAAACATGGGCCGTTTGAAGCTGCTAAGTTTATGGCAATGTTTTATGTAGAAAACTAATGGCAATTTTTTTTTTTTAAGATTTTATTTTTTTGTCAGAAAGAGCATGAGGAGGGGGAGCAGCAGGCAGAAGCAGAGGGAGAAGAAGGCTCTCTGTCAAAAAAGGAGCCCGATGTTGGGCTTGATCCCAGGACTCTGGGATCATGACCTGAGCTGAAGGCAGACACTTCACCGACTGAGCCACCCAGGCGCCCCACTAATGGTAGTATTTAGCAAATTTTGAAATGCTGTAACTCTGACCTACCAATTTCACTTTTAGGAATATATGTTATAAACTCTGACAAATACATAAAAGTATAGCTTTTTCTGGGCGCCTGGGTGGCTCAGTGGGTTAGGCCTCTGCCTTTGGCTCAGGTCATGATCTCAGGGTCCTGGGATCGAGCCCCGCATCGGGGCTCTCTGCTCAGCAGGGAGCCTACTTCCCCCTCTCCCTCTGCCTGCCTCTCTGCCTACTTGTGATTTCTCTCTCTGCCAAATAAATAAATAAAATCTTAAAAAAAAAAAAAAGATGTAGCTTTTTCTAATAGAAAAAAAA